GGCACTAACGCCACTATAGGAAGCATAGCAGCATCAATGAACTCGTTCATTTCCTTTCTGGGCATCAAGGTGAGAAGAACTATATTAATTTTTACTTATATTCTTGAATCAATATCAATAATATTTCTACCGTTATGACAAAAATTCAATGGAAAATTGAAAGAAATGTATCTTATTTCTTCGTTGCTTTATAAATTTCATCATCGGTTCGATAAATTTAGTGAAAATGACTGAATTACAATCTGAATCGGAAATTTTATTAGGCCATGTGGCCAAGCGTCTCACCAAAGAAGAAATCGAAAGAATAAAAGCACAAAATTCACGATTAGTTTCCGAGTTTCGTGCTAATCAATTAGAAAAAGATGCTAAAAAACATTGGGATCTATTTTATAAAAGAAATAACACGAGATTTTTCAAAGATCGTCATTGGACGACACGAGAATTCGACGAATTGTTGGGCTTGGGTTCGGATGCGAATAAAAATGTCCTTTTCGAGATAGGTTGTGGAGTCGGTAATTTGATTTATCCTTTATTAGAAGATGGACTGAAATTTAGAAAAATATTCGCATGTGATTTATCATCAAAAGCTGTTGAACTAACAAAGGTAAATTTTTTTAATTAAGTTAATTTCTTTAAATTGTGTTTTTATTTTAATTAGCTATAATTTTCATGAGATTTTTTCTGTTTTCTTTTTTACAGAATCACTTGTTGTATGATTTTGAAAAAATTAAAGTATTTCAAACAGATATTACAACAGATAATTGTTTTGCCGAAGTTGATTGTTTAGTTAACGCAGCTACATTGATTTTTGTACTCTCTGCTGTACATCCACAAAAGTTTAAAATGTAAGCTTCCTTATATTCAGGTTTTATATCGCTGAGTATTTTTTCTTAACATTGTCTTTTTTATCTTTTATAGGGTTGCACAGAATATTTATAATGTACTAGAGACCGGTGGAGTTTTACTTTTTAGAGATTATGGTTTATATGATATGGCACAACTGCGGTTCAAACCAGGACATAAAATTGCTGACAATTTTTATATGCGTCAAGATGGAACTAGGTAAACTAATTTTATAAAATTAAATTATTCTAAACAATATACTCAAATAATTCAATTTACAATGTTATTTAATTACAGATCTTATTATTTTTCTATTGATGAAGTGACTGAGCTCTTTCAGTCTGCTGGTTTTCAAGTTTCAACATGTGAATACATTCAAAGACGCACTGTAAATGTTAAAGATAATATTGATGTACCAAGAATTTTTGTACAAGCAAAATTGAAGAAAGTTTAAATAGCTGAGACTCGAAGGTATTGTATAATGGTTTTAGTAGTAAATGTTTATTTATAAAATGTTACATTCTTCTAATGATGATTACATAGTTCAACTGAAACTAATGAAGATTTTATCTTTCGCCCCTATCTGATTTATAATTAATTTATTTTATTTAAAGAAACTGTGTTATTAGAGCAGTGTATTAATGTGAAATATTTTGTTACAGGATCTTTCAATGATCATGTTGAACAGTTCTGGCTTTATCGACAATTTACTTTAATCCTTTTATTATGAACACTGGATATATATGGCATGATGCATAAATTTTTATATCAGGGATTCACTTCGTAGTAGCACTCTGATGAAACGGATTGCTCTAGTGAAAGGTTTAAATATTTTTTGTAAGTAGTTTCTCCTTTTAATATATTAAATAACATTTGTATTGTTTATTATGTTTATGATGATCTCATAGTTCAACTGATTTTAATTGATGACCAAAATTTTTGTTTTTCGCTCCTATCTGAAGTTACTTTTATGCTTAAAATTAATAAAATATTGTTTACTACAAAAAAATGTTTAATCACAAAAATTTTGTTATAGGTCACTATGATTAAACGGAGTGCTCTAGTGAAAGGCTTAAATATTTTTTGTAAGTAGTTTTTCCTTTTAATATATTAAATAACATTTATACTGTTTATTATGTTTATGATGATCTCATAGTTCAACTGATTTTAATTGATGACCAAAATTTTTGTTTTTCGCTCCTATCTGAAGTTATTTTTATATTTAAATCGAATAAAATATTTTTTACTACAAAAAAATGTTTAATCATAAAAATTTTATTATAGGTCACTATGGTGAAACGGATTGCTCTAGTGGAAGGCTTAAATATTTTTTGTAAGTACTTTTTCCTTTTAATATATTAAATAACATTTGTATTGTTTATTATATTTATATGATGATCTCATAGTTCAACTGATTTTAATTGATGACCAAAATTTTTGTTTTTCGCTCCTATCTGAAACTCTATTTTTATTTAGAAATAAATAAAAAAGTTTCTTATCACAAAAGATATTTAATTGTGGAATTTTGTTACAGGTCCCTCAACAATAACAAAATTTAAATTTCATGTATTTTCAAAGAAATATTTTACTACCTGCGTAAGTAGTTTTTTCTAAAAAAATTTGATTCATACAAAATGTTTTATTCATGCTTTTAAACTCTATTTTATGATGAGGATTTATTAATTTGAATAATTAATGATATGCATTATTCGTCACTACCGCTGAAAATATAGTTTGACATAATAAAATGAAATATTTACGAACATTCATAATAATTATCCTCACACCAAATTTATTTATTACAGGTGGAATAGTATCTGATCTCATTCTTTTTCTTAGCATTCCGCATGGAAATAAAAAAGAAATTTATGTAAGTTTTTTTTTACAGACTATTATTTTAATTATCTTAATCGTTTCAGTCCCAAGTAATACAATATATTAGTATTCCTCAGATTTGATATTAAAATATACGAATGGTGTAATTATCCAGTTGTATTATAAAAAAATACAACAATCGCAATGCTAAAATTTTTTTTTTATATAGACTTGAAACAGTTTTTTTTTTTAATAAAATAACAAAAGAGGAGTGTTATTACACCGCTTTGTTTTTTTCGGCATTAAATATTCTATCGCATTGTTTTAGCATTTTCAATTAGCCCTGGGACCTAAACGATTATTAAATAAATTATATGATGATAAATAAGTATACTCGTATAAATCTATGAAGACTTTAATATTAGCTCTAACTGAATATTGTAGAAAATAAAATTATTACCCTTCAACCTATATAGGATCTAAGAAATTATCAAAAAATATTTGTACTTTTCAGATTTACCATAAACATTTCACATCAAACAATGGAACTATTTTATTTAAAAGACTTACAATTTCGATGAAATATTGTTTAATTTATCTACATGTTAAATGTTATAAATTAAAGATTTTTATCTCATATGCGACTGATGTATTTAAGACGATTAAAATGCATCAATTTTGTTTAAGATAAAAAAGAAAAATAAAGATGTTTTGTAAAAAAAATTTATAGAAAAAGAAATTTTAAATATATTTATTACCCATTTGTATACGTAATCCTTATTTTATTTTATTTTATTTTATTTTATTTAATATAATATGCATCAAAAGTTACAAATTGTATTCATAATTCATTTCTGGGATATTTTCTACTTTTTTTTTATTTTTTGCTCTTTTTTTTAAATGATTACTATACATGCAAACGAGAGAAGAATGTTCTCTAACCTTTTGAAATTTCGATATCAATTTTGTTAATAGTTTTTTTTGTGGTAAAGTAATAAGTGACTATACTATCTTAATAATCTGCCTCCGAAATAAAGAATAAAAATTAAATTTATTTCAAACTATTTTTTTTTAATAGAAACAAAATTTAGGATTCTCTCTCCCTCTTTCTCTCTTACGATCAATAATGACAAAAAGAAGAAAAAAATATTTAAAACTAATTTATTAATATACTTTTATTTTCGTTCGAATATGTTATCTAAATGGGTCCAATATCCTTGGCATTATCAAGCTCGAATCTATATTATATTCATCACAAAAATGATTACTTAATCTTAAGAATATTCTCTCATTTGTATAGCAGGAGAAAAAAAAATAATTGATCGCTTTAGATCTTTCTGATCGTTTTAGATTTTTTAAATTTAATAAATTTAAATAAATCTAGGTATGTATATATACATAGCGTATGTGTGTAAACTTGTGATGACCTTTTTATAAAACTTTTCTCTAGTTATAAATTAAAATTTATTTAATTCAATGATTCTTTCTATTTCGGAAACTAGTCGAACCAGTTTATTTATTAAAGTATGTCCAAATAATTTAAAAATAGTATACATAATTCAAAGAGTCATGTATAGAAAGTATGTTAGAACCTTTTAAGTTAGTTCGAAAATTTATCTATAAATTATTATTATTGTGCAAAACTTTGCATTGTAATAAAAGAAAAAGTTTTTGGAATTGGACACTTCACCTTTAGCAATAAAATTAAACTTTATGCGCGCAATTAGTATTCGAGTAATGATTAAAATAATATATATTTAACATTTATACAAATACAGTCAGTTGAAGCAACCCTAAATAAAGTAATGGATTTTTTTCAAAATTGTTGAATGTATTATAATCGTATAAATTGTATGTTTATAGTAAGAAGAGTTCATGGAACTCGTTACGATAAAATCCTTGTGCGTGCGATCGGCATTACGTGGCTATTGTAAAACACTTTCCTCTGTATTTGGACGATCGCCAAGGTCTTTCCTTTGAACAGTGTATCTTGTAACATAGGTATGTCTTCGTACATGGGACTATTATGGAATCGTCGATAGAACACCATGATACCTTCCTTGGAATGAAGAAGAAGAAGAAGAAGAAGAAGAAGCTAAGCTAATGTATACATAAACGTATTGCTAGTCCATAGATTAACGATTAAACAATAGAACACTACAACAAGTAACAACCCTGTCTTGACAAAGACACCTTACCTTACCATTTTACACCTAAGCTAAGATACGTTAACGTTAAAGCTAAGGCACGCACACATTTCATATCACGAACGATTCGTGCGTCCTCATGCATTGATCAATCTGCGGATGACGTCGACAGGATGATCTGATCGTGGGTATATAAAGCCATCCACTAAAATGAAAGAGCATCATTCGGTCCTAGTTTACCAGAGCAGCAGCCTCCCAAATCCTCTAAGCAGACATCATGAAGTACTTTGCTGTAAGTAATACGATACATCAACACAATTATCAAATATAACATATAATTAAACTTATCTTATATATTTTTAATTTGAATTTGAATTTGAATTTTAATAATTAACTAAGTCAATATTAGTCTTGTCAATTGGATACATTTTTAGAATTCGAAGTATTTTAGAAATTTTGTTGTTTCATTAAAATTGAAAGAAGCTTGCAATAGTAATGGAGATACACGGAATTACTAATTGGATATAGAAATATTATTTTTATATATTATTTATTATTCTTTTGGTTGATCCCTTCTTTTTGAAGATATCTAACAATCAAGTAAAAGTATTAAAAATCGAACAGAATCTAATTAAAAACCTATATAAACACTTGTATCTTTTTCAAATTTCAGACTTTTTTTGTTAGATATAATACTTTTGTATATTGTAATAATATTTCAAAACTCATTCATCTCCAATAAACTATCTCGACAGTTAATTTACCAAATAAAAATATCCCCTAACTTTTGTACATATTTCTATTTTAGACTGTCGTTCTTTTGGCTATGTTTGCTGTTGCTTCAACGCACGCGGAAGTTATACGTTCAGAAGAGAAAAACGAACTGTCACCTGAAAATGCGGAAAAAAACATACAATCAGTTATACTAGAAAAAAGATCGCTTAATGGAGATATTGAGGGAAAAATTGCTGCTTCTGAAGCTAAGGAAAAACGTACAGAATTGACTGAAAGAAACAAGAGAACTGCTGTATTCCACACTGCAGCACCAGTTGCCTACACTGCTTATTCCTCACCCTATACTTATGCCCGAAATTATGTCTACCCTTACGTAGCTTCCCCTTATGTAGCTTCTCCTTATGTAGCTTCCTCTTATGTAGCTTCCCCTTATGTAGCTTCCCCTTATCGTTCTTACCCCTACATCTACAACAGCCCCTACTACTTTTAAATTAATCTCTAATATGAACATACGAATATTGTGTTCATAATAATCACGTGAAAGAAACTAATTTCGGGATAACACGACTAGGCATATTATAAAAAGTGTATATTGTTCTTCTTATTCCTCATTAGATTCCCTTAATGTGGCGAATTAAGATTTACTTTTTATTTAATTGAGGATTAAGTAAGTCAATTGACGATGTATGTAGTTTAATTTGATCTTTAAATACAAACGGTTATATCGAATTTATATTATCAATTACTTCTCTGTCTGTCGTTTGACAAATGAAATCGATGAAAAATTTCAATAAATTCTCTTTATTATAATTGTTTATTTTAATCTTTTACTTTTACAGTAAAAATCGTTTATTTTACAGAAAAACAGCGTATTTCTTATAATTTATATCGAATCGTTGAGATTTTTTATTGAAATTTTTTTTAAAATTTTATTTAATAAAAGTGAGCCGCCTCTTTTAGAGAAGCACAAATTTTGTAAATGTGTTTTACAAATAAAAATAATCGAAACAAATGAGAATCGGTGAAAATCAATTCACATTGTTAAATTATATTAATTTGCGAGATTTGAACAGAAAATCGCGTGCTTATCGCATGAATACATCATAAATTAATAATTTATAATATTCGTAGCTCGGTTTTTCATGGATGCGTGTGTATTTGTGGTACGTGTATGGTAGAATTCATCATGCATGTATCTACGGTGTTATTTTGAACACGAGAGAAACATAATGAACTCAAATCACGATCTATAATACAAGCGGAAACTCTCTGACATCATGAGACAAACATTATTCCTAATCGCATTGGCACGATCAATAATATCATCGATGAGATCTTGTTTCAAGATGATGATATAATATGTGAAGCTTTTGTTCTAATGATAATACCTTAAAGTGTTATAATAAGAAATAGGCCGTGTTCTCGTTTTTAGAGAAAGAGGGTGAAAGTTTCGAGCGTGCTTAGCGATGTGTCCTAATTATTTCTTTTATTATAATTTATGCTTTCGCGTATTTTATGTGTATATATTGTATGTTTATAATATTTGATTAATTCGAATTTATTATATGTTATAAATAAATATATTTTCTCTTTTTTTTCTTGGTGGGAAGGTTTTGAAAAAATATTGGCCAATGAATATTCGTGTAATTTAATATTATTAAAACTATAAAATAAATATATATTTTCTAATAAATATTATTATTTATTCATTCAATTTTGATTTGTAAATATATCTTTGGAGAATTTAGAATAGAATTTGAAATGAAACTTTCGTAGACTATTTGTAAAAAAAATGATATTCCTCTTCGCAGTCCGATTCACACGTAATCTTATGTTACACAATAAGAATAAATCCCTACGAATGAGAACTTATTCCGTATTCTTCGAGACTGAAGACTTGGTAGTACTTTCACTGGGATACTGAAAAGTTGTGCGTGATGAGAATCAGACGAAACTGTTCAAATTCGCGCCACATTATCGCGGAATGTATTCAAGTTTTTGTCGGAAGTTGAGAGGGAGGTTATTCATTTCTTACGTCTTATAAATTTCTTCTCGGTTGAAGGCCATTTATTCAGGAACATCTACTTAATGTGAAGATTAATGAACATCTAAACGAATAAATTTGTTCATTCATTTGTTATTTCATTTATTCATCAAAAATTATTACTAAATCTAGTGTATTTATTATATATAATAATATTTATTTATTATAATATTTATGTTACATATAAATTATATATATAGTGATTATTGCGCGTGTGTGTGTTTGTTATTCGCTAGAAAATAAAAAGTAAAAATTTGACAATTAGATTTATTCCACATCGATATGTGTAACACCAAGAATTTGTAACAGTATTGCTTAAATTTCGATCGATGAAAGCCAGTAAGAAAGTCTATTGTAATTCGTGAATGGTCGCGACCCGACTGTATTTATACATGTGCAGGTATGGCTGTGGTTTTAGTCGGTGCGAGTCTGTTCATCCTCATAAGAATTAAATTCCCGACAACGGTCTACCGATTAAATGCCGATAAGCCGATAAGTACGTTTCTTTGACCTTCGGGAAGAGTCAGGTGAAATTGCATAGTGCAGTGTGTCGAGTGTTAGGAAGGATTATATGCTATTGTGGAAAATGCGATTCTCTTTGGTGAGATTATTTCCGTAAACTTCATTGACTTGCAAGTACTGTGCTAAAGTGTATTATAAGATCGTCTCAGCTTTTAGTATTAATTCTGTGTATTGTTAGGAATTAGATAAGTGACATTTAACTTAATGCTATTCTAATTTATTTATAAATACATATACACATTTATAAATGTATATATGTATCTCTAATTGTTTAAATACAATTTTCATTTATATATATATATGTTTAATTATTTATTATAATATTTTTTAGATAACATGGATTCTCATAATTGGATTATTATCACTGGTATATGCCAAAGATGCAGAGAAAAGTAGTTCTGATATCACGAAATTGGAGGTTGTAGAATTGAGTGAAGCAGAAGCTGATAGCGATTCAAAGAAATCAGACGTTCAAATAAAAAGGAATTCAGGATATTCGTATAATAGACCCAATACGAGACCCAGATTACAATCCGGTCAATCGGGATATCGAGGAAGAATTGTTACGAGGATTCCAAGTCAAATAACTAGACCATTTAACAAATATGGTCCACCTAGTCAACAGAATTTAGGATTAAGTAGACCAAATGTTCAACAAAATCGAGATAAATTTCAACATCATGGCCAATCTTCCCTAAATCGTTATCCGAATAATCAGCAATCCAATAACTTCCAGAATCATGGTAGTGGTTTATGGGACCAGGGTATACCAAGTCCTATAAGAAATTTTGATTTTGCTGAAGTAAGTCCTATTGCTAGTCAAAACAATGAACCATTTGGATCAAACACAGCTAATTATTTGCCACCTAGAAATCAAAAGTTACCAGCTTATTCACCAGCCGATAGTTTTTCTCCTCAACAAGCATTGTCAACGTCGCAAGGTCAAAATATTAATTTTCAGAATCAAAATATTCCTCAATCAGAAGGAAGTCAGATATCCGATGCTGCTTTATTTTTAACACAAAACGCACAAGCTTTAGAACAATTATACGGTGCTCCAGCAACGAGTCAAGATTTTGCACCAAGTATTAATGATTATATCGATCAAAATAATAATCAGATTCAAAATCCGAGTGGTCAATTTCAACAATTCGAGAATACCTCACCAAATCCTCAAATCTTTCGAGGACCATTACCTTCTTACGCCTCGGGAACATTGAATTCTCAAGAGACACTTGAGCAAATACAGTCGTTAGAAAAAGATAGATTGATTGCACAGCTGCAACAAGCATTGGCTCAATCCCAAGTCCAATCTCCTAATAATGAAGGTAGATACGCGCAAAATCATGGCAATTATCCTCAGAATCAGGATCTCTTGGGTTCAATTGGCACGGAATTTCCGCCGTTAGGTAAACCACGCATAAGTTCAAATACGATAAATCTTGGTAGAGGAAACGTGGTCTCCAATCAATTACCTTTTCTGTCAGGTACAACGACCGGTCCAATCAAATTCCCCTTAGGCTATGGCTTCACCACAACGACGACTCAATCACCGAGCACCAGCACGACAACGACAACCACAACTTCGACGGGACGTCCTGTTCCAACTAACAAAGGTGACGGTACCACGCAAATCGGTGTAAACGTTCCTGTTCCGGGTCAACCAGGAACTGCAGTAGTACCTTCCCTGGGATTCCCTTTGTACGGCGGGTTCGTACCAACCTTCGTAGCAAATGTTCCTAGCTATGGAGTTTATGCTCCAGGAACAGTGACTTCAGTACAATCATCAGGATCATCATCAACTCACTTTGGAATACCTATTCCGACAGATCAAGGGCATAAAGGAATTCAACCTCAGACACCCCAGCTACCTCCAAAAACACCACCGACAGCTAATCAACCTGGAGTCGTAACATCAACACCCGTTCAATCTGCACATCCAACTACTCCTTTACACCCTGTCGCTACACCAATTCAACCAATCCTTCCAGCAACTCCGACCAACATTCAACCCTCCGTAAGTTCGACACCGAGTCAACATCCAACTTATGGCCTACAAACACCTCTGATCAATCCTTTGATCTATAAACCAATAAAACCTGTCTATCCGGTCTACTATTATTCGAATCTAGCTTATCAATTACAAAAGCCAGCATTGCCAACTTATCCATGGAGTTATGCACCCTCGTACCTATCAACGAAACCAGCACAACTATGGAAATAAGGTGATACCGTTCCTTTAGAACGAAGCAGGACTCGTTCTCCCACGTACTCGTGGCTTTTTCACTCTCTCGAATACGAAAGAAAGTTTCTAAGAGTTCGAAATACGGAGACTTTGAAAGCACATCACAAAAATGACGATGAAGAAGAAAAAGAACAAGTCGAATAGATAAGATACGAATCCCAATATGATTTGAAGGAATGTTATATTAATCTAAAACGAACGTAATTAAATAATTATTAAGTAGAACATCTAAGAGAGCTACTTAGATGACACTATTATCGAAGTCAGCTTCAAGTATCGATATACGATACACTTTCCTTTGGACTATCGAATGACGTTCGTGCTCCTTATGAACTCTCATGAATATTTCTTAACTTTAGATGCCTATGTACATACTATCACTCTTTATTTATTTCTTCAAATAAACATTTCTTTATTTTTTTTTCCTATTATCATACTCATCCATCAGATATTATCCAAATCTATTATATAACAGTCATAGAAAAATAATTATCGATGATCAAGTTAGAAAACTAGTTTGACGCAATTCTGACATATCAGGTTATCCACAAAACTCATACTGATATTTCTATTAATACACGTATCAATAAATCAGTAGAAACTTTTCAGGCAAGTTCGTCCTTGTTTAAAACTGTAAATAAAAAATTAAAAAATGTCATTAGAATGCGAAATTTGTAGGTAAAAAATATTCAAAAAGAATTTGAAAGAAATCTAAGTCATAGCTTTGCATGTTGGAAAGTCGTAAGTCGAGAAAATGTAGTGCGACCATTTCCGGTCGGTTGAACCAATCCGAAAGAGTGAAAACTCTCTCTTACCGTAGTCATGACGTATCCGTGATTAACCGATACAATAATCGGCGTACAATAAAACACGATCGACGTTGACTCGACACTCGATCCTGACCTCGAAAGTCGTTCGATAATTCTATCCACGGTCAATGCGCGAAAGGATTAGTGCTGAGTTATCCTAAGCATACATAATAAACCATTCGGTACTGGCAGGTGTATCCAAGATTGCTTATCGATTTCATAATCTTTCAACGTGACTTCATGTAAGAGAAGATTCACGATCGATCCATTCATCTGATGTGAAGATAAATAATAAAGAATCTTCATTCATCGTGTCTAACATATTGTCTTCCGGTTATTGTATTGTATATACAAAAGTAATATGTTTCCTAATAATAATTGAATTATAGTATTTAAAGGTGTACTACTCAAATTGATTATCGGTTTTGTAATCTTTCATTGCATGCCATAAGAGATTTTTTATCACAAATCATTCGTTTGATGAAGATAATAAAAAGTTATCTCATGTTTATTTAGCTTTTATTTATTATTTACTATATGTATATTATATGTAACAATTTTATATGAGTTTTATATTTTCCGTATTAATAATTCAAAGTTTGGAAAATTGATAATATCAAAATGTTAAGTAAGTATCACTGAATAAAATATATCATATTATAATATCATATCATATGCTATAATATTGGATTGACTAATAAATAATTTCGAAATTTTTATTGGAAATAGAGAAATATAAGAGTTTTTTTTTAATAGAAGATACTAATATTATTTATTTAGATATAAAAAACAAAAAGGTTGCAACTCTTTATAACTCAATAAATTTGAATAAAGTTTTCATTCATATAGGTTATCTTAAAATTTCTAATATAAAAAAAAAAAAAAATGAAATAAATACATTTTGAGTAAACTACCGTTAGATAAATGATAGGACGATATTACCCGTTAACATAATTTTTTCGATGTCAAGTTGCAATGATGTTAAAGGTCGAGTTCATACCATATTTTAACATTTATTATTAAAACCCGTTTTCAAACTCACTTTCCGTGGTGACCCGAATCCCCGCCCGGTTCTTCTTTTTTACTCAGCTCATGTACTTTTACTGTTTCAATGGAAACCAGTTCGATACAAAGTTTTCCATCTACGTTATCCCTTTTTCAAACTCATCCTGAGAACCTTCCTCTGATTTCTTATATTTTCTAACTCCTACAAACTACTACAATTTCACTTCTTTCTTATTCTCATCTTTACGATAATCGAAATCGGAACAGCACGAAATCGATCGACCAATCGGTCATCGATTGGATAGATTCGTGGAGATCGTAAAAGTGGTGCTTGATTGTAAATCCAACACGAACAAACGATATCCTTCCTTTATCCATTCGGTGAAAGTCTAACGAAATGAGTCATTTGTTTTCAGATAACTTAAAATGTTCCTTTGAATTGCGAAAACGAAGAAGGGAATAAGGAATTGATCCGAGGAGTATAAATTCTCTTTGATTATTATCTGCCTCATTATCTATCTATCTTTTGTGAATAATATGAAATAAGAAGAATGATTGTTTCTTCATGAATTTTCTTTAACTATTATTTTCATTCTCATCTCTTTTTCTAATTCTTTTATAATTTTTTTTTTTGGTTTTGTTTTTTTTCAATAGTATGAAAATATGAAAGTATCTATCTGAAGTATTATATAAAAGATAGTTAAACTGTCCATTATTATCGATTATTATCTACATCATTATCTTTTATCTTGTATCTCGTGTGAATGTATCTCCACCTTTCTTCGACTTATATTTCATCCTAATAACCCGTCCATCATCGTTTTCTTCTTTTTCTTCTTATTATTCTTCCTACGATTCTTCCAATTGTATGTATTAATCGAAAGTAAAAAGTTCAGCAAGTACCAGAAGGTTTTTCTATTCGCCATCCAGACATTTCACTTTCCAACAGTCGGAAATCTACTTTCAGAAGATAGTAAGAGAGCAAAGAATGCGAGTAACATAAAAGAGAATCCTTTTACCATATCTTTAATACGATCTAATAAATCGTAAATTTTACAAACCGGAGATGAGTTTGTTTCGTTTATATTTTTTCCATTTTTAAAAAAGAAAAAAAAATGAAGAAGAAAAATACATGCATATTTCGTATGGTATAGGATTATTAATAGCGTTCACATTAATCAGCTTCAAACGTGTAATTGAAATTTTTCCATCCGTAAATGTCCATCGTTTGTTTGTTTGTTTATTTTAGTTTTTGTTATCAGACTTTACGTTGATTAATCGAATAAACGTAAGATATCATTTGAACGTGGGAAACGAAGATTCATGCTATTTGAATTTGAATGATGATCCTTTTATATTCCCTTCTTTCTTTCATTCTTTCTTTATTTCTTTCCTTTTTTTTTAGTTTAGTTTAGGATTCACTTTATTATGGATAGCCGGAAATGAGCGTAATGACTTACGGAGGGAAATAAAAGCTGCTGGTCGCGATCGTAACGATTCCTACTTTGAACGAATTTGCATTCAATTACACTTTCTAGGCAATAATATACGAGGATTCTATTTCAATTCCGTTCAACGTTCTCGTTATGAGAAAATTCAGTTTCCTCGAATGAGACGAATCTCTAAGATAGAATTTCCGATTCATTAAGTTACTTTATTGATATATAGATTTTCTATATATATAATATAAATGTAGAATACACGTTGGTTCGATATATATTAATTCGAAATATATTAAGAGATATATCATTAATAATAATAAATGATATAATAAGAAATATATCATTTAAATCGATTTATTACAAATATTTATAAATTATTATATAAATAAATAATCTCTTTTATTTTAGTTTTTTGTAGAATGTAAGAATAATTTTATTCTTGACCGTATAACAAACTTTTGTATTTTACTATATTAAAATATTTGAAATAATAAATTAATAATTGTAGGACCAATCACAGTATATTTTTTATCATAGTAATATTAATAAAAATATTTTTAATATAGATTAATAAAAATAAATAAATCGATATATGTGGCCATGAAAGCTTTTGTCGATAAATATTTTTCCCATAGAGAAAATTGGTTAAAATCTTTTTTGAGCATTTACAATTGCGTTACTCCGAAAGCTTTTACCGAATTCGAGAAAAATTGTATTCATTTGATAAAAAATATGAATTAAATATATATATATTTAAAAATCAGCACGAACTTTTCCGAACGATTCTTATATTTTTCTAAGAATTTTCTCGAAAATTTGATAAGGTAAGATAAAGTAGGTCGCATAAATGGTTATTTTATTCACTTCAAGGAAGTCATCGGGATCCATCAATCTTCTGAATGTTCTACGTAATTACGTGCATGAAAGACGAGCGAAGTAAACTCGTCGTCGTTTAAAGAGCCTTCCGCATTTACAAACGTTTAACTCATGTAAAGAAACGTTACACGTTTGTACATAATACAATCTTTCATAATTAACAAGGAATCATTTAGAGAGTATCATATTTTTTCTTTTCATAAAATTTGTATGACATAAGATAAAATAGTTAAAAAAAAAACAAAAAACCAAAAAAAAACAAAACAATATCCAATTGAAATATATAATCCTTTCTAATATCTAAATGACTATGCTAAAACGAATTTCGTTACGTAAGTTAATACCATTTTGTAACAATTTAAATTAGTCTTTTGTTTAGAGGATTTGTAAATACGGATAAGGAAATGTAATTTTTTCCTCTTTTTTTTTTCCGTTGCAAGTCACAGTACGAAATTTCCGGCTGACATCTAAGGGAACAAGGAAGGATCAACCTTTTCCTTGTTTCGACGGCCATTCGCATTTAAGATGATTAGAAATCTTTTTCCTGTGATCGAAATAAAACAATCGCCGATAAGGATCAGTTAAGTAAAATGACTTTTACCTGGCACGAAGGAATTGTAAGCTCCAGTTGTTTCTTTTTTTTTTGTCTCTTTTTCTTTTCCTTTTTCTTTTTCTTTTTCTTTTTTCACGACATAAGTGAGTTTATTCTTTCGCTAGGACACTATCGCACACAAACACACACACACACACAGATCGAAAGCATCACAAACGACGATTCTCCTGCTCCTCAGAATCAGCACGGAGAGACTTACCTTCACCTAGACCTTTCTTTCTCTCGTACGAGAGGGGATCCACATATAAAAGGTCTCTACTGGGTTGGTATGCCATCAGAAAGCACATTTCACTTAACCACTCGGTAGTCGGTTGATCACGAGAAATAGTTACAAGAATATCAACTTAAATAGTGACATGCGTACCTTCGTAAGTATCTATTTTATCATTTTTTTTTCATTGTTCGAGTGTCGAAAAATGTAAAGAAAAATTTGCTTACTCAATTAACATTAATAAATTTATTTATTTAAAACGTAACATATTTATATTAATTAAACATTAACATTTTACTATCGAATATTAAATATAATATTAAAATCATTATTAATGATAATATTTTATATGTGTGTGTGTCTAGATACTTTTGGGGCTATTTGCTGTAGCCTTTGCAAATGTCT